CGAGGACTGGTGGGGGCCGATGGGCTGGCACAGGCAGATCCAGACCTGGAAGTCTGACCGGACGCATGCATGTTGCACTGTGTAAGGAGGCAGCAAGGAAGGAGCCAGGTCATGGGTACCCTGGTTTGTTGCTCTAGGGAATTCAAACCTTCTTTTAAAGGAAGTTGTAGCATGAAAGGAATTTAAGGAGAAAAGATAACATGCTCTGGATTGCATTTTGGAAAAGTTCTAAAAAAAATAATAATAGGAAAAGAGGAAAAGGGAGTAGAAAAGGAAGCAGGGAGACAAGATGTAATTGTATTGACACAAAGGAGGCAGGGTAAGGGCTTCAAAGGGAATCTAGTCCCTTTATTCTCAATAGAGGACAAATCAGTGAGGTGAGGAGACAATTAAAACAGGCTCAGGGCCCAACTGAGCAGGCTACACCCAGCTAGAGTGATGCAAAGTCAGAAAGGAGTGGTGGGCAGGAAAAGCTCCGCTACACCAGCTCATTCATTGTCTGGAACCTGAGTTCCAACTTGCAATGTCAGGAGCACAGCTGCAAGGGTGCTGATGCCCTGAAGGCCGAGGTCGCCCTGTCCTGGGCACTCCTACCAGTTGGTGACTCTTACAAGGTCTCTGTGGACATATTCAGAGAGCAGAGATGACAGAACTTTGAAATAATTATCCAACTTTCACTCCAAATAAGTGAATAAGTAAATATGTGATCACCACCTGCCTCCTTTTCTACTAGAGTTTGATAGGGTGTAAGCTCATGACTACACCCTAATATGAGCTTTCCCCTAATAACTATGTGACTGACAAAAAGAAATGCATCTTGTCACCCACATGGTTGGCCTGAGGGCCTCAAACCTGGGGCTGCACTTAAGAAGCTGGAGGAAGGCTTAATGGGGGATAATTGAATTCTTAAGTCAGGAAGACAAGTGATTATTTTTTGGATGAGTAGAGAAACAAAAGTTTGTGGGTTTTAGACAAACAGATGACAAAAAGAGCCGTCTTGAGATTCCAGTAGAGCCCTCGGGGCTTGGAGGTCTCAGAAAGGACAAACATCTTGGAGTGTTTATATCTCGGGCTTCTGAGTGTAAGCCTTCCAATTGTCTTGGAGTCTGGTACCCTGAGTCTTAAAACATCACTGCCCAGCCCCACTCTAATGGCTTGGGAAGAACGTTAGCACTCACCACATTCCAGGGCTTCCAACTGTTTTTACTCACTTTCTAGATGAAAGAGTAAGAAATTGGACTCTTGACAATAACGGTGGTGGTTCATGTGCACTGAGAGCATATGAATACCAAGCATTGTTTTTTTTTTTCTTAATCTTTGTGCTATTTTCTATATTTACCACCCTCTGCTCAGAACTATCCTATGAGGTCAGTGCTGTTACCTTCAAACCCACTTTTGCGATGAGGAAATTGAGCCTCACTGACTTTAAACCCTATACCCAGGGGGGTGTGACTAGCTCAGGGAGCTTAGGATTGGAAGCCTGCTAGGTTGACTCCAGAGCCCACCCCTGTTATACTGCGGAATGAAGCAGTCGTTTGGTCAAAGTGTATTCTGAAGCCCCATCTTTGACTGTTTATGAAGCAAATGTTACAGACTCTAATTGTCATAAAAGGGGAAGGTTCCATCTTCTTATCCACCTAATGAAGGGCAGAGCTAAGCAAGGAGGAGACTTGGAGAAGACATGTGGAGCAGGGAGGCATGTGGAACATAGAGGCAGGTGAAGAAAAAGTCGCACATGCTTCTCCACTTTGGATGGCACCAGGGACTTGGGGGACATGGGAGGAGACACGTATACTTGAACAGGTAGTAGCAGATACTACTATGATTTGTACTTTGATTTTGCTTCCTTTGTCCCAGATTTGCCTGGCCCTTTCTGCCCCTTTCCTTTGGTGCCCTGCCAGAAGGTACCTTAGGCTTGTGCCACCTTTGGGGCCTCAGCAGTTCCCTATGGGCCAATCTTGTTTGGCTGGGCATTTACCCACAAGGGAATGGGTAACTTTGGAAGTTTTTATCCTCTCTTCTCTTCTCTCTCTATGCACACTAATTAAATTTCTTTCATACTAAGATTATGCTTTGTCTTTATGTGGTGGGTGGCAGAACTTCTATTGAGCATGCAGGTTTGGGAGATCTCATGGTACCCCTCAGTCTGGCCACTAACATACTTATATGAAGAAGTGAGGAGGAAAAGCCAGAGATAAAAAGAAGGAAGGGAACCTCATACAGAAACATTTTCCTAGCACTTAAATAAAATATGAAACAAAATAGTTATGCCTGTAAAAATGACTGGCAACCTTAGCAAAATCGGCCTACAGAATTCTGTTAGTTTCTACAGAACCCAGCTTGGTAGAACCATCTATGAATCAGGCTTCCTTTTCAGCCAAGATTCAACCATCAATCAAATTGTTGATTGAATTAATATCAACTTAAATTGTTAAAGAAAGTGTCCTGAGGTCTCTAAACTTGTTCTTCCCTCTAGGTGCTTAATAAATGTTGGATAAATGAAGAAATGAATGAGTCCACCTGTGTTGCCCTGTTCCTCCCTTAGTCTATCCCCCTTGGGTACTTATTGCCATTTCCTTGAGAGAAATAGAGCTCATACACAGCCATGGCACTGGCCAAGATTCCACAATTCCCCCCTAAAGACTGATGTGAAATGCAAACTTGTCTGTCCAGGCCCAGGTCTTTTTCTATACTCTTCCCACCCCCAAACCACCATTTGCTTCATCAGCATTTACTCGTGGCCATGAATAAGACCCTGTATTGCCAGACTTTTTTCTGGAATACTCTCCTGTGCTCTTATCATTGATAATGTAGACAGATGTTCAGAACCAGAAGGGCCTTAGGGATCAAGTCCAGAAAATTAATGATTTCTCGCAGGAGGAACAGGGCTTCCAAGAAAGCTTCACAAAGGAAGCTCTGTGAAAAGTCTTTAATACAGTTTGAAATATTCAGGTCCACAAGGTAGAATGAGATGGGCATCAGGAAGCCCTTTCAGATTCATTTGGTAAAATGAATCAAGAACTATTCTATAGCTGCAACTTAGAGCTGATGATCAAATCTGTGGGAATCTATCTTGAGGAAATAACACTAAATGTGGGAAAAGTATGTATTTGAAGATAGTATGACATTAGATCATTAAAAAAGAACTGGAAAATAAGTCTCCCATGTGTTTGCTTGAAGAGAGACTTTTATGTATCAGATGGATTATTATGCATTGTTCATTTTAAATATTTTATGACAACCTGGAAATATTTATGTTCATAATGCTAAATGAAAAAAAAAGAACTATGTGAGTATAGTCTCAACTTTATCTTAAAACTCACAAAAGGGACCTCCCTAGTGATGCAAGGGGTTAAATCTCAGCACTATGAAGCTATCTGCAGGGAGCTACCCACATGGTGCAGCAGACCTCTCCTGTCTCACCCACTGCTCTCCTCAGCAGTGTACTTCAGTCAGTCTGCCAGTTCTGTTCCCCACTCTGTCTGGTGAATCATCACACACCACACACTCCCGCCTCACATCTCTGGCCTACATCCCAGCTCTTTTGTATGCATAAATAAATAAAATAAATCTTTAAAAAAATCAGAAGAGGGTAAAATTCCATTAGAAACAGGGGTATCCTCTTATTAAAAAGTGATATGGAGGCAATATAAACAGATGAGTGGATCGAGAAGATGTAGTATATATATATATATATATATATATATATATATATATATGTGGAATACTACTCAGCAATCAAAAAAGATAAACTCATGCCATTTGCAGCCATTTGGATGGAGCTAGAAAGGATGAGTACAAGCTAAATAAGCCAGAAGGAGAAAAACAAGTACTAGATGGTGTCACTTATGTGTGGAATATAGAGAAACCAAATAATCAAGGTTCAGACAAAAACTTGAAACCCTTTGAAAGCTGACCATAGACCTGAGGCATCCAGAGTGGGAGTTGGAGGGATGAAAACAGGGTGGGGAGAGCACAGTGGACTATGACGGAAGCCTATGAGTGCCTTGGTTGTGGGGGTGCTATAGAGACCTGAAGGGGGAGATTCTATACATCCAAAACACTAACAACAACATACACCAATGGTAAGACAATTTGAAAAATGTACTTAAATAAATGGCGATTACTACAGGAGGCAGGAGCGATTATGCAAACACAATCTATGTCCAATGATGCCAACTCTTGCTCTTTTGCTGAATGTGACTGATGTTTCTCCATATACTCTATAAATATTTAGATGATACATTTTACCTCTCAGTCGTTGGTATCCCATTTTATTAATCATTAGTTCCAAGTCTTGCAAAGAGAATTTTCAATTATCTACCCCAATAAAAGACCAAGATCATTCCCAAGTAGCCAAATGATTGAAGGCAGCTGGTCTCATAATGGAGATCTCATGGCTTCCAAGCCACATTCACCATGGCAGCATTCTATCAACTTGTACTCTTGCTTTCAAGCTTTGTCCAAGAACAAGCAGAGGCTTTGGAATGAGAGCTCTACCTCTCCCCCTCCAGCACGAAATTTTTTTAGGGAAAAGCTGACATTCTACTCAGCCTCACCTGACCAATGGATTCTCACATATACTCTCCATGTCAAAGATGGACCCATCTTTATCCCATGTTACTCTTTGATCATGGAAACTCTATTTTTAAAACTTCAGACTTCATTATCTTCAGACTTCATTTATCTCACTTCAGTTTTATCAATGGTAGAAGCCATGGCATGAGAGCAGTCTTCCCATTTTGTGAGAAAAAGTGCAAGGAAAAAAGGGTGCCATTCTTATCCTGGTGTCATGTTGCTGACAGAGTTGCTCCTGGCTCTTATACCAGGGCTCTTTCTGCCTCTCACCCTCCCCAACTTTCATTTGGCATTAGAGGTGACATTGTGGGGCCCTGAAGGAACAGAAGCTGCACAGCCATTTCTCTGACCCCTCCCTCACGCCTCCCCCAGACCCTGTGCCTACATCGACCCCCAGTAGAAGGGATAACGTGGACTCTTACTCATTTCCATGTACTCTGGGGTCAGTCCGGTGTATGGTTCCAAGCTATAGTCGAGGTCCCACTGCTCGGGGTGCTTTGAGTGGGCAGAGTCAGTTTCTCCAGGTTCTGTCTCATCTTTCAGCTTCCGAAACAGTTTCTTGAGCTTTCTGGAAAAGAAATGGACCAGTTACCAAAAGCCTCTGGAGAACAGAGTTAGTTTACACAGACAGAAAAGAAGAAAATACTAAGTTTCAACATTGAAACTATCCCTGATCCAAGAACAGAGAGAGGGTCACAAAGGAGACTTTCTGTTAAAGACATTCCTTTATCAGGATATTGGAGGGCTCCCCACATGGATCAGGTTTCTTTAAACCCAAATAAATGGAACTCTTCCTGCTGTTTATAGCAATGAAAGAGCTGGCCCTTTCCTTCTTTTTTTTAAGAGTTATTTATTTATGCATACAAGAACTGGGGTATAGGCCACAGGTGTGGGAGGTGAGAGGATTCACCAGAGACAGAGTGGGGAACAGAACAGGCAGATCCACTGAAATACACTGCTGAGGGGAGCAGCAGGCAAGACAGGAGAGGTCTGCTGAGCCATGTGGGTACCTCCCTGGCTGGGGATCGAACTTGAGCTACAGTGGCTACGGATTGCTTCATAGGTTGTGTTTTAACCCCATGTGCCACCAGGGAGGCCCCAGAGTTGGCCCTTTCTACCAAGTGAGAGCACCCAGTCATCTAACAGGATGATCTAGTTAGCCTCTTCATGGGGAAGAAAGGGTGTCCACAGAACAGAAAGATGCTCTCTTCTCAGAAGAGACTTCTTCATATTTAATAACAAACAGCATCAGGTTTCCATAAAAGCCAAGTTAAACATTGTCTACCAATGCTATGGGTTGAATTGCATCTCTCCCTCCCCAACATCCAATCCATATGTAGAAACTTTAACCCCCAACATGACTGCATTTTGAGATAGGGCTTTCAGGAAGTAATTAAGGTGAATTGATGTCATGAAAGTGAGATCCTAATCCAAGAGGACTGGTAGCCACAAAAGAAAAGGAAGAGACCCTGATCTCTCTCCACTGTGCAAGGATGCAGTGAGGAGGGAGAGGTATGAAAACCAAGAACATGTCCATAGAAATAAATCAAAGTCTAAGTTGTATCTTTGACTTTTCAGTTTCTAGAATGATGAGAAGATGAATTTCTGCTGTGTCAGCCAGCAAGTCTATGGGATTCTGTTATGGCAACCCAAGTAAACTAAAACAACCACATTCAGGGCTTTTTTGGTCTAGAGTGATAACAAAATAATAATGGCCCAGCCTCTCAGAGTTGGCATGAGGGTGAAGTGAAACAATGATGACACAACCCTTGGCATAATATCTGGGTATAGAAAGCATTCAATGGATGAGAGTTATTATTTTTGGTATAAAAGTAGAGTATGTTCATACTTTCCATTAACTCACAACAAATAGAAAATGAAATTAGGTGAAAAAGCAATGTGCCAGTTCTAAGAGAAAGTTTCTAGGCAATAATTAGGAGGAAAACTATCAGCAGAACAGTCAAAATCATAGCCTTTGAAAAGCAGCGAAAAGTGTTTTTGAAATCCATGATATAGCCAAATGCAGGAATCTTGGCCCTTTCTCCCCTCCCACATTCCTCACACACAAGATCATCCAATCTTCCTGCAGTTATTTCCAAAGGCGCACTACCAATATCATTAGACATCTCTTTCTGTTGTTAGAATTTCTGAAAACTATTGGAAACATAATTTCTCTGATTAGTATCTTACCATCCAGAAGATGTAGTATGTTGTAGTTGGAAAAAATCTTTTTTGTTGTCACAATTCCATCAAGGTATATTTTCTCGGGGAAGTTATTAAAACTTCATAAAGTTTATCATTCTTATTTATAATATGAGCAAATAAATATAAACTAGTGTAAAGATCAGTTGAAGGAGAAAATATATGTATATGGGCTTTGTACATGCCAAGAGCTCAATCAACATATCTATCATTGGCCCTCTCACCATCATCATCATCATCATCAGTATTATAACCACAGAAGGAGTTAGAGAATAAGTTGAGATCCACAGAAGCAGCAGGTAATAAAGTCATAATAACAGCAAGTAATAATTTTGTGATAATAATAAATTGAGAAAAACTAGATGGGGCCAAAATATTCTGAAGCCAAATAGTGTGAACTGACTTAACCCTGTCCATAAATCAAGACAGAGAGCAAGGATGAAGAAAATTAAGGGGCCTCCCCGGAGGTACAATGGTTGAGCGCTGGGTTGCGAAGCTGCCCAAAGCCTCTGCAGCGCCCGTTCAATCCCCGGCTGCTCCCCAGCCACCAGAGGAGGGTCCCACATGGCACGCAGACCTCTCCTGCCACCCGCTGCTCCCCTCAGCAGTGTGCTTCGGTCCTTCTGCCTGCTCTGCTTCCCGCTCTGGTTCTGGTGAATTCTCTCACCCTCCCGCACTTCTGACTGTACCCAGTGCTTGTATAAATAAAAAAATAAATCTTCAAAAAAAAAAAAAAAGAAAATTAAGAAGCATGAAAGAAGAAAGGAAGAAAGGAGAAAGAGGCGGGAAGAAAGGAAGGTCTATCATCAGAATTGATATTGAGACTTCTGCTTCAGGTAACAGTAATCAGACTCTATGGCCAAATCTTAAGCAAAGATAATCAGTGGTTTAGATTAAACATGGAAAGTTGAAGGCATGCATATATCCCTATTCATTCCTGAGAGGCTACTTAAATGATAGTTAATGAATAAAAAATATAAACCAAAAAGTTAAAGAAAATAATAATGAGTAAAGTAGTATAAGAGAGAGATGTTAATGAATATCTTGGAAGATAGATGGTGGATGAAGGACTTAACAAAGTTGTCATGGCTGAATACCAAGCGTTTACAGTGAAATATGGCAGAGAAATACAAGCCAACTCAAGCTGAAAAATCTCAGAAAGGTGCAGGAATTGAAGGTACCAAGTGAAGAGTAGTGACTGGTCAATGTTCTGTTAAGGAACAGTAGACCTTAAAGTCTCTGTTGACGCAGATCACCCAGGTGACTACTACTCCCCAATATCAGAGGGACAAAATGTTTACTTTGGAGGGAAAAATGAACTGGGGAAATTCTAAATCTGAAATAAGTACAATGAAATGATGGGATGTTAGAACTTTATAAGCTCTCAGAAAAAAGAAAGATAAATGGGCAGTAGGATAGAAAATATTTTCAAAATTAATCAATCTAGAAACCCCAACACTTAATCAGAATGGGAAGACAGATAAAAGGTGGGGGGAAATTACAAAAGACAGATAAGAAAGTGTGACAGAGGTGAAATACATGTATTTTCTGATTGGAAAGACCCACTTAGCACAAGGATGAAAATAGGGGCCTCCATCAACACACATCATCATCATCATCATCAGATTTTACAACTCTAGGAAAAATTGTGAAAACTTCCAGTTACAGAAAACATAGATCCTCTCCTCTAAAAATTATTTGAAATCAAAAAGATAGAATTATCAGTATCAGTCCTTGACATTAGAAAACTTAGGGAAATGTATTAACAATGAAGAGGCAGAGGAGTTCTTTAGCATAGGGTTTTATACCTGGTCAAAGGATACAAAAAATACAAAGGCAAAAAAGCAAAGACATTTTTAAAAATGTTTTAAAAAGCCATATTTTCATGTATTCCTTCTCATGAAAGTTCCTGGAGGATGAATTTCAGCAACCAAGGACAAAAAGAAATAAAGAAAACAACATGGAACTGAATGCAACCCCTAAAAAAATTCCAATAGCTTTTTCCAAGGGAATAGAGAAAAGATTACTGAAATTTGTGTGGAACTACAAAAGACCCTAAGTAGCCAAAACAATCCTGTTGCTTTGGTGAAGAATAATTTTAGACTTCAAACTATAGTACAAAGCAACCGTAATCAAAATAGTGTAATATTAGGATAAAAGCAAACATGCATATCAATGGAACAGAATTGAGAGTCCAGAAATAAATCCACACTCCTACATACAGTTAATTTATAACAAAGGATCCAAGAACATGCAATGGTGACTAAAAAGTCTATTTGGCAAGTGGTGTTGGGAATACTAACAACAAATGCAAAAGAGCGAAACTAGACCACTAACTCACAACACACACAAAAATTATTTCAAAATGGATCAGACTTGGATGTAAGACCAGAAACCATAAAATACATAGAAAAAAACATAGGTGAAACACTGGCTTCAGCAATGTCTTTGGGACTCGACTACAACAGCAGGGGAAACAAAAGCAAAAATAAATAAATTAAAAGCTTATGTACAGCAAAAGAAGTTATCATTAAAACAAAAAGACACCCCACTGAATGGAAAAAAAATATTTGTACATCATCCATCTGATGAGGGGTTGATACCCAAAATCTGCAAAGAATTAATGTAATTCAACAAGAAAACAAGTAACCCAATCAAAAAATGGGCAGAAGAGCTAAGTAGATATGTCTCCAACGAAGACAGGTCAACAGGCACATGAAAAAATGTTCATCATCCCTTATTATCAAAGGTAATTATTATTATTATCAAGGTAAATATAAATCAAAACCATAATGAAATACCACTTCACACTTGTGAGACTGGCCCATATCAAAAAGGCCAGAATCACCAAGTGTTGGTGGGGTTGTGGACATTGTTGGTGGGAATGCAGAGTACTCTATGACAAACAGTATGGCGGTATGTCAAAACATTAAAAATAGATCTGCTATATGATCCAGCAATTCCTCTCCTAGGTAGCTACCTAAGGAAAAAAAAAAACATATTAAGTCCAAGGGATATATGCAACACTATGCTCATTACACATTACAGGACTATTGACAAAAGCCAAGTTATGAAAACAACCTGTGCCCAGTGAGAGATGAATGAATAAAGAAGACATCAATATTTACACTATAGAATACTATTCAGTTATAAAGAAAAAGATGAAATCTCACCATTTGCAACAACATGGATGAAACTGGAGAAGAATTATGCTAAGTGAAATGAGTCAGAAGGAGAAAGACAAATACCAGATGATTCACTCATAGGTGGAATATAAAAACCAAGCAATGGGATGGATAAAAACAAAATAAAACAACCCCTTGATATCTGACTGTAGAACTGAGACTACCAGAAGGGGAGGTTAGG